CGTGCGATTCCCTTTTGCGAGCGATTCCCATATGCGTGCGATTCCCTTTTGCGAGCGATTCCTACTTGCGTGCGATTCCCTTTTGCGAGCGATTCGTACTTGCGTGCGATTCCCATATGCGTGCGATTTCCTTTTGCGTGCGATTTTTACTTGCGTGCGATTCCCATATGCGTGCGATTTTCTTTTGCGAGCGATTCCTACTTGCGTGCGATTCCCATATGCGAGTGATGATTCTATGCGTGCGATTCCTACTTGCGTGCGATTCCCATATGCGAGCGATTCCCGAGGTTTTTTAGTGGGTTCGATTCCCACACTACCCTGATCTTTTTTCTGGGATATGGTGATCCCTCAGAAGAGATCAGGGTGTGCGCGGGCATTTTTCCTCGTAAAAAAAAAAAAAAAAAAAATTGCGGTTGTTTTATTTATGTGTAAAGGTTGTAGAAGTATATGTGGTGCAGCAGAAGCATATGTGCAATACGTGCATGCATTTTATGCACGATTGTGGTGGATGTAGTAGGTTTTAGTCGGTCGTGCACTATTCGAATGCGTGCATAAGGAGTACATATACGTACGCTCATGTGTAGTTGCGCATTCAGTTTATTGTGTGCGTGAAATAAGTATCTAATTTAAGAGTATGTTACTTAGAGGTTTTTTAGATCGGATATGTTACGTGACATATCAGTCACCTAGTCATGATGATAAGTTTTGTCTGTTCGCTTTCTTTGTAACGGTCTATTTTACAAATTTTGAAATATCGAGCATACAAGTTTAATATATTTCGTGGTTTAAAAGATAGTGATATATATGTAATAAAGATACACACATTGGAAATGCAAGGTGAAGTAATATAAATGTTTTTTTACAATAAGATTTTATAACAGGTAGTCTCAAAGTTTTCATTGAAAAGTAAAAAAGAAATAGGAAAGTTTGTATGTTTGGTGATAGTAAAATTAAAATTTTGAACAGTATGTTATATATCGAGAAAAAATGAATTTACCTAATTAGTTAGATTGTGAAAGTCACTTGTTCTCGATGTTTCAAATTCCATTAAAGCGACAGTTTTAGTTACCCTGTGTTCGTCAAAATTGACGCTTGAAGTGCGCCAGAAATTGCAAAGCTTTAGAATATCGTCATTATTGTGCGAAAGATAATAGACCTTAACTTTGTTTATTATCTTTAGTGTTTATTATATTATCTATTTTTTTCGTGTGTAGTATATTGTTTAGTTTGTTATATATATTTATTTGGTATTTTCTTTTCGTGTTTATTATAGTATCTATATCTTTTCGTGGTTAATTTTTTTTTGAGTTTGTATTTCAGCAGAGAGAAGACTGCGGAGAGCGGCTAGGGTCATTCATTCATGTCGTTGGACGTCACGCACACGGACACGGTTTCGTTTGTGTGTGTGCCTCCATCACCGATGCTCTTGATGGTTGGCAGTTCTAATTATCGACAGTAAAGTTCATGTAGCACGGATTCAAATTGAATGATAATGATCTTATCACAGACTCTAACCGAGATACATTTTTATCGTATGCGCCTGAAAGTGGAACTCGTTTCGTAGTTCTCGAGTTTCCACGCAAAGTGGAAGTCGGCGCTGAAAGTAGCGGCTGGAAACCGTCGTAAAAGCAACAATGGCATGGCCGCTCTTAGTCTTCTCTCTGCTCAGACTTCTCTCTGGCAAAAGTAAAGAAGTTCACTAGATTTTGTATGAGGTCATAGATGTCTAGTGTATTTTGAACGATCATCCATATTTGTTGCGCGTTCAGCAGAACAAGCTGCTTTCTAGCAATTGAACGTGATTGGGCTCATCCAGAAGCACGACCGCTCTGGATGCACCCATTGGTTCTTACATAGACAAGATGACAACTCAGCAATCGTTTTGCTGAACGCTTACCTGAGATTGGACGCGTGTTCTGCACGCCATCAACGCGGCTAACCATCATCCCCGTGGCATCTGGACGCGATCTGTTGTTTTATTAAAAAATATTGGTAAGAGGTTTTTAGTTTAAAAATTTTAATTTTTGACTACACAAGTGTCGTTCAACTCTGCCCTTCGGTAAACCTGATTTTTATTAACAATTATGTGCGCACTTTGCGTTAAATCGAAGGGATCGTTTACGTTACACGTGATCTGTGTGTAATGCCGGAAATTTTACGTCACGCACATTACTCGTTAAAGTAACAATATAGTTTGTAAGCGAGCTCGAAGCATTGTTATTTTTACATTTATTTTTACGGACTTGCATATTTACGTATGCTTATATATATATATAGTGTATTTCTATGTATACAAGTTTTAACCTTTAGAATACGAACTTTTAGAAGACGAACCGAGCAACACAACCGAGCGCTCTGTGAACGGCGAATGTTAAAAGTACAGTAATAAGAGTTGTAGCCGGAAGTTGCGGTAGCCTCTCGGCCATAGCGAACGTTCATTTCACACAAGCGAATATCTGTCTTTATGTCGTAGCGACGGTTTTTACAGACCGGATATATTCATTCACAGTATTCTAAAGGTTAATATTGTATAAACAATTATAGGTGATACACAATTGAGATTAACAGATGTAAATTTACAAACTTCAATATCTTACTTATTGCAGAAGATTTGCCATCATGAGTCGTTTCTTTGCAACCGGCTCAGACTCAGAGTCTGAAAGCGCATCGGAGGAGGAGCAGGTGCCAAGGGCGCCAGCAGCAACTTTTACTGTAGGTCTCACTGTACATGTGTTCTTTGGTTTTTTGTGAATCTGTAATATCGTAAACATTTATGTCGACAGTTCAGCGATGACGAAGAAGAAACAAAACGTGTTGTACGCTCTACAAAAGAAAAACGATATGAAGAGATAAGCAATTTAATTAAACTTATTAGAAATTACAAAAAGATCAAGGACATGAGCAGTATGTTGACTAGTAAGTGGCGTTTTGGTCTTGCAAAATTAAAAAACTCAAAGTTTGAATGTTTCTTTAAACATGTTTTCTTTTCAATTTTCTCTTTAGGTTTTGAAGATTTAATGCGAGCTTATCAGAAAGCTTTACCGGTTATTACTAAAGAAGAACTTGGACAAACTCCACGATTCTACATAAGATGTTTGGTAGAAATGGAGGATTTTATTAATGAGGTTTGGGAAGACAGAGAGGGACGTAAAAACATGTCCAAAAATAATTCAAAATCACTTTCAACTTTGCGTCAGAAGTTACGCAAATATAATAAGGATTTTGAATACGATATTATGAAATTCAGGGAAAATCCTGATTTGGATGATGATGAGGAAGAAGAAAAAGGTTCGATTACTGCAGGATTATCTGTCATAGATAATTCTTTAAATTTATAATTTGATCTTGAAACAATTCTTATTATTTTATAGCTGAAGAAATTATCGAATCTGAGGAAGAAGAGGACAGTGCGGTAGCTTTCAAGAAAGCAGGATCGGAAGCTAGTGAACCCGATGTTGCTAAGTTTAAGGTCTTTTATCATATATTGCTTATTAATAACATTAAAACTAACTGAACTTTTTAGTGGTTCAGAAACTTCAACAAATTGGCCCGATTTTTTTTCGTCACGTTTCTTTATATTACGTTACAGAAAGGTGCGACTGACGGTGAGGACGGCAGTGAGAGCGATTCTGATTGGGGCAGTGATTCCGAGAGTGAGAGCACAAGTAGCGACGACGAGGGACAGTATCAAAACATTCGTGAACGTTACATCAAAAAGTACAATCAATTTATACATTGCGATAAAAAAAGTGTCTTTTTTAAAAAAAACGGTATTTATATATATAATGTGATAAAATGTGTCAATTAGAGATAGACCCACAGCCCAGGAAGACGATGAAGATAAGGCTAAGAGGAAAGAACAGCGTAAAGAGCGAAAAGAAAAAGAGCGGAAGAAGAAACGCGATGAAGACGACGGCGAGGGAGAATGGGAAACGGTGAAAGGCGGCGTGGCGATACCGTCCGAAAAGCCGAAGATGTTCGCGAAAGACGCGGAGATCAACATTCCCGCGGTCAACAAGAAACTTTCCGAAATTATTGCGGCGCGCGGTAAGAAACGTACGGACAGACGCGAGCAGATCGAGTTGTTGCACGAGTTGCAGTCGATAGCCGACGCCCACAATCTTGGCTCGGCCATGGCCGTGAAGATCAAGTTTTCCATTGTGTCTTCCATATTCGATTATAATCCGAAAGTTTCCGACGCTATGAAGCCCGAGTATTGGTCCAAGTACGTATTTATTATTGATATGATAGATAACAAGCTTTTCCAACACACAAGACAATATTTATTTAAAAAACGTTAGATAAATGTTAAATGGACTCTAATTTGTTTCTAGAATATTGGAACGCATTACCGAGATGCTGGATATGCTGTTAGGAAACACCGATATGGTGATAGCGGAAACAATCGTGGAAGAAATGGAGGAGTTCGAAGTACCGCCTTATAAAATACACGGTTGCGTGTTAACATTGGTGGAGCGTCTTGACGAGGAGTTCACGAAATTATTGAAGGAATGCGATCCGCATAGCAACGACTATGTAGAAAGGTAACACGCGTGTTTTAAACAAATTTACGAATGATCGTGATTTGACTGTTGAATTCACGCGCAATGAAATTTCTGCCTGTCAAAGGTTAAAGGATGAGAAACAAGTTGCTGCCATAATTGACAAGGTACAAGAGTATTTGGAAAGGCAAGGAACCGTTTCCGAACTATGCCGCGTGTATCTACGCAAAATAGAACATTTGTATTACAAATTTGATCCGAATGTTCTCAAACAGAAGGAAGTAAGTTTTATCCACAAAGTACACGCGAGTGTGCAAAAAGATATTTCTTTGATTTTACATATTTGTCAAATGTACGCATTAGGGTGAACTAGGACCAGACGCGGTCACGTCGGTGCAAGTTATGGAGAAATTGTGCAAATACGTTTACGCGCACGACAATACCGATCGACTGAGAACACGCGCGATTCTCTCGCATATTTATCACCACGCGCTTCATGACAATTGGTTCCAAGCTCGCGACTTGATTCTGATGTCGCATCTTCAAGAAACCATTCAGCATTCCGATCCGGCTACACAGGTCTCAAATCTGCAGACAAATTTATCTTATTTAAAAAAAACACAGAATTAACCGTCGCGTCGTTTTAGATTTTGTACAATCGCACGATAGCTCATCTAGGGTTGTGCGCGTTCCGTCACGCGAATATAAAAGATGCTCACAATTGCCTGGTCGATCTGATGATGACCGGTAAAGTGAAAGAGCTCTTGGCGCAAGGTTTGCTGCCTCAGCGCCAGCACGAGCGGAGCAAGGAGCAAGAAAAGATAGAGAGACAGAGGCAAATGCCGTTCCACACGCATATTAATCTGGAACTTTTGGAATGTGTATATCTAGTCTCAGCTATGCTCATCGAAATTCCATACATGGCTGGTACATTTTACGTTTTTGACACAATTTTTTTTTATGTATATACATTCAATATTTTTCGCTTGTCAAGTTACTTCAGAGATTGTTACATGTTCAATTCTCTAGCGCACGAATTTGACGCAAGACGAAGAATGATTTCTAAGACGTTCTATCAACAACTAAGATCCAGCGAACGTCAGTCACTGGTAGGCCCGCCCGAATCCATGAGGGAGCACGTTGTGGCCGCCGCTAAAGCTATGCGAAATGGCAATTGGTCTGCCTGTAATTCATTTATTATCAATGAAAAGATGAACGCAAAGGTATAAAAAACAAAAGCAATAGTTTTATATTAGCAACTTTCAATAAAACTTTCAATTAAAAAAATTTAAAAAACCGAGAATGCAAGATAACAATCACTTGAAATATACGATAGGTGTGGGACCTATTCTATCAAGCAGATAAAGTGCGCGCTATGCTAACGCGATTGATCAAAGAGGAAGCTCTGCGAACGTATCTGTTCACGTACTCGCACGTTTACGACTCGATCTCGATGCCGAAACTGGCTGACATGTTTCAGTTGAAGCGACCAGTAGTTCATTCCATTATTAGCAAAATGATAATCAATGAAGAGCTTATGGTACGGTCGTATTATGTGTAAATGATGAAAAAGAAATGAATCTAATCTATAACTTCATGCGCTATTTTATAATTTTTGTTTACAAAAAATTCAGGCATCTTTAGACGATCCAACAGGAACTGTGGTTATGCACCGAAGCGAACCGAGTCGCCTTCAATCTTTGGCTCTGCAACTCACTGATAAAGTAAACAACTTTGTTGATTCGAACGAACGCATCTTTGAAATGAAACAAGGTAACGTATATCTTCTATGTACTTGTTTACATGATAGAGTGCAATACAGCGTGATTTGTTTTATAATAAAAAAAAAAAAAAAAAAAAAAATACAAATTCTTTTTTTCAGGTAACTTCTTCTCGAGAGGTAACCAAGGTAATTTCCGCGACCGTCAAAATTACAATCGACAAGGACAGGACTGGGGTCGGCAGAGGCGCGACCGTGACCGCGATCGCGATCGCGATCGTAATCGCGAAGAGAATCGAAATTATTAAATAAAGAAAAGTATTACTTATTGAACTGTAATCAGTGTTGACACGCATCTGTAAACATATAATATTAATTATATACTGATATACGATATTGGTATACAATTTTCTCTATATGCGCAATATTCGCGTATTATATTTGCACGTGTAAATAAGTAAAAAACAAAACATTTCTTATCCTAATATATAAGAAAATGAAAGCATATTTTATTCTCGAGAGAGAGATTCTTTATGTTTCTTTTTGCCTTTTTTACTACATACAAAAAATGCATAAAAAGCGTATCTTTCAAACTATATATAGGAGTATGATATGTGAAGAAAAGACATTCTCTTCTTGCAATTCAAAATAAAAATGGATTTATTACATATAATAAATCGTGTGTGTATATTTACATAATTTTATTATGTCGGTTTATCATAAATGACATTATACAAACAAGTAATTTTATGTAAATTCTCTTCTAATGAAATAACGTTATAAAAAGTTCTGATTCCCTCGCAAACATGGTTTTATAATATGTATATATAAAAGATTCAACTGTTTTTTTTTTTTTTTTTGTAAGTAGATATATATATATATGATAAGAAACTGCACAGTTCTGTTTTCGAATCAGAAATTGCTCTATAGATGAGAGTGAGACGGTCGATTAAAAATAAATTTCGTTTTTACCGCGCACATATACATATGATTATAAAATACATTCAATCTATATATACAATTTTTGTGGTCAATAGACGATAAAACGTGTGATATAAATAAATTATAAAGTGTACAAAATTTATATAAAAGAGTTAACTTCCAATTTATAAATCCATCGAAGTTGTGTGTTGAAATTTTTTCAATATTTTAACACTGTTAAAAAATATACACAAATATATGTATATAATTTAAAAATTTTGTAGCATATTTGCGTATCTTTTTTCTACTATTTACCGTTATGCAGATTGCTGTACATAGGCGTCTTTTTTTTTTTTTTTTTTTTAGATAATCGTGTATACCGTTAATCTCTTTATCTATTTCTGCTGAAGTTGACTCTCTTTCTACATGTACTTTTATTTCGTTTGATATCACAATAGGTTTAAGTGCTTATCATATATTGAAATTCGTAGAAAAAAAGAAAAAAAAATTGAACTACTAGAGATGCATAAAAACTATATAAATAAAATATTAGACTTTTATATGCCGTGAGAGAGAACAAGCGATAATTATTGCACTTGAATTGTGCAGAATGAAGAAGCTTTGATATTGTGCGCTAGCATTACGTTCCCTATGTATCTTAGTAATATATCTATGAGCATTGAGAGACTTTATGTTTCAAGGCAGTCTTTGTTAATCGTTTTACCGTACACTACCTAATGGGAACCATTCGCTGGTTTCGTTCGTCAAGTCGAGCCGTCCGAGCGGTAAACTTATACCACCTAGAAATTCATTCTCCTGTAAGGTATCGTGATTCCATATTGTCGCTTCGAGCGTTCTCTCTTTGATAACTTCCAACGGCATTCTGTACTCCAACTGGTGCAAAAAAAAATTGTGTTAACTAATGCGTCGTTTTTTTTTTTTTGTTTTGTAATAAATCCGAGAAACTCTATTTTACCATCTCCATGAATGACGGATGACAATTCTTCTTTATCACTTTTGTCTTCCGTTTTGTTGCCTTTGTGGGGTCAGGTTTGAGATACACCTTCACGTATGTATTAGGCTCTTGAGCGTTGGCCACCTTAGGCAGTGCTCGGGCGTGACAAACCATGACAGACAGAGTGCCGCGGGTATAATGAAGAGACAACTTGATCTGACCACTCTGTACGTTCTCTCTGACTCTTTTCTCGGCCCACCAATTATTTCCAACTATCGCACACGAATATTATACGATTACTCGTATAATCGACTTCGTTATCACTTGCATAAATACTCGAAAAAAAAAAAAAAAAAAAAAACTAAGCATTTAACGAGACAAACCTACATGTCGCACAAATACAAATTGTGTCGAAGCGCGAAAAACACGCTTTTTCGTGCAATTTTTAAAAAGAATTAAACTGTGCGTGTTTGTACCTTTGACTTTACGTAGATGAATATCGGGATTTTGCTGATCGCGTAACAGCGGATGGAAGAAAGTGTACACGAGATCGCTCTGGGATATCTCCGATGCCATCTTAAACAGACTCACAAGGAACTTCTCTATGTCCGAGCGCCGTTTATCGGCCACCTGTTTGATGTTGGAGCGTCCCACGCTTATGCCGCTCGGTAAACTGCGGAAACAAGAAAAAGTTACGTATATTTCTGAGAGAAGCACGCCGATTAACGGAACCGTTCTCCGTAATCATAAACATCCCTATTCGCATTCCCACTCGCATTCCCCCTCCCGAAGGATTAATGTATATATTTTTCCTTCTTCCTCTCACAACACATTGCCCGATAAGGTGTAATTACATCCACGTATGTTACCACTAGTAGTCGACGCATGAAGCAGATAGTAGAAAATATTGTGTCGAAGACAGAAGAAGATAAAAAATCAATTCGAAAAAGTTTTTAATGTGAGAAGAAGAAACGCTAATTAATTAATTTTGTTTCCTCGCGATATATTTGTGTCAAACAAATTTTACGCTCGCTATAATTAATGAGTGACTAAGATCGTTAAATATAAGGTCTGAGTAATATATATCGGATAATCTGAAGATAACACGTATCAAAAGGTGCGACATTTGTGCGCGTCGAGAGTATTTTGTGTTTGAAGATCTCTTCTTGCGTGACTGAGATACATGCCGGTATTCTTAGAGCGTATCGCGAAAAGTTTCTGTTTCGAATTGGATTCGAAGAAAGAGACGCGATCGTTTGCTTCTTCAACTCTGTGTGTTGTGATTTATTTATTTTTCGTGATTTAAAGTTTTTTTCGGTTAAAAAGAGAAAAAAAAAAATAAGAGTGACAGTTCGTTTTCCCAACAATCGCACAGAGTGAGTACAAATCACATTTCTTTGGTAGTGTAGTAATTTATATAAGAAATCTATTATTTTCGTAGACACACTTTTTGTTTATAAGAATTAAATAGGTAATTGATATTACAAGAAAAAAATACATAATACATTATTACATTATTTAAGATGTACATTGTACATTTGTTATGTAAATATGTTATTCAATATATAATTATTTCACTACGAAGCAACATCTTATCAATCAAATACAACCACAAGTGGTTGTATTTTCGTAAACAGTAATAAACAAAATTAAAAAAAAATTTCTTTTACAATATACATTTGGACTGTAATATTCTTAATATTATCAGCAAAGTGCGATAATATTGTGTTATCTGCAGAGATAATTAAGGAATTTATTTAAAATTGTTCGAATTGTTAAATGTAAAATAATCTGTTTTTTTTCTTCAAGGTCTAAAGATCTCTCGGAAGAAAATGGGTCTAAAGTCGTTTCGAGCACGTCTGTCGATGAACAACAAGAAGTCAAAAGTTCCGGAACTGACGGGCTTGTATCGGAGAGTCTCGTATTCCGAATCGGACGTGTCAACAATACAGAAGAACGCGCCTCTTTTCAGAAGAAATATCTTGGCAAAGGAAATTCATAATAATAACGAAACATCGCAAAACGACAGCTCGAAATCAGACGTTACGGATAAATTGTCGTCGTCGACGATTAACGAAATGGAAGAACGTGCTAACCAGACGGTCGAAAATGCGAAACTTTCCATCGATGATTCGAACGCACTTGAACAATCATTGACAGACGATAAGGAATTGAACAAAATAAATGAGAATCAAGACGATCACGCATCAGATACAAAGAATCGTATCTCTTCGGACAACGAGATGCTAATTTAACAAGAGAGAGAAATATTGAAGAAAAAAACTCCTAAGATATTTCGAACTTTGAAAATGAAGAGAAATGTGTTTGTGTCTCTCTTTCTTTGTTCAAATACTTTTTTGTAATGTGCATACTCTATCCTGTATTTTTACACAGCAAATAACACATGGTCCACACATATTACATATGTTCGTGTGTGTAAAGAATAATTTAGTATAAAAATGTACTAATAATCTATATTTATTTTGTAGCAAAAAAAGTATTTTTAGAGAAACATATATATATATATATAACTTATAATTTATATATTAATAATAAGAATTATTTGAGGTTCCTTACAAAAAGCATTTTGTAAAAAAGAAAATAATGATACTCAAACAACAGAGGGAGAAAGAATGCGCGTGCAACTACGCGCGTAATGTTTATTACCTGGCTACTTTAGCGAGTGGGAAGAGTATGCACAATTTCTGATAGAACTCGCAAAACTCTTTGTAAGTTCGGAACAGATACGTCGGATCCGCTTGGCCTTTTCGCTGCACCCGTAAGATGTACATGTAATACTTTTCCGGATCGTAACGCTTTTGATATCCGTAAACCTGCACGCTCGTTAACTGACCTTCCTGTTGCATTCTGTAAAACATATAATTGCAAAACTACAACACTTATCGTATATATCTTATATTGCAAAATGGAATTTCGCGTGACGCGAAAATCGTGTATTGCGAGACATTTTATCAATATAAAAGAACTCACGTGTATGTGCGCGGAATGAAGGACAACAGTTCCCCGTCGCTGTGGTCCCCGGAAAATCTGAGCTGCGCCAGATTGTGCAGAAAGAAATTGAACTGCGTGAACCAACTCTTCAGCGAGCTTTCGATCATGCGGGCGAAGGTAGCCGCCGCTTCGGGATTCGTTTGTCCGGGAAGCAGAGCCTTCTGTACGTAACTGACCGCGTCCATGGTCACTCCAGGAATACCGGACGAGGTCATCTGCGAAGTCGTGTACTCGTTCATTCTTGCCATATTCACGTGATCTTTTATCTCGATATCGTGCAGCTTTCGCGCTATAACGCTCTGTTTGTGCAAATCACTGAGCAGATTCTTTTGCAAAATTAAATCGTCCATCGTGATCCTTTATCTCTCCCTCTCTCTCCCTCTCTCTCTCTCTCGTGTTCGTTAAAAGATACTTGTCACACGATCTTTCTGAGAATACGTGCCCGTTGACCACTTCACAACAATTTCTCAGAGCTCAGTATTTACTGCCAACGATACTTTACTCTTAACATGATTGACTCAGACTGTTTGTAGCGCAAGATATTAGAGCGAGGGCGATAATACTAATTAACTACATCGTATATAGTTTCGTGCGATAGTGGTCCGCGATAGTATACTTTCTGATAATGATACGCGGATACGACCGGTTCCGTTGTGGTTTGTTGTTTTCGTAACGTAAAATGATAGAAAATACATAACGCGTCGTAAATTCTTTTATTTCAAACGCATTCGACATCTATGTTAAAAAAAAAAAAATTTAACATTTGCATGTCTGAACTTTTTGATTTGCATTTGCCGCTAATAATTAATGCGAATAACATACGTAAGCGTATGTTAAAAAAAAATGCATATGTGCGCAATCTTTTTCCGAAATAATTTATCTTTTAGCGTATGCGTAGATTTAGATTAAAAAAGTAACTGATTTTGAAAAATGCACTGCTGGTTTTTATAAAATACTCTTAAGTGTCCCTTAATCGAAGATTGTTCGCAAGAAGTATGAGTTGCGTGTAAAAAAAATTGTTTTCCCTTTTCGCAACATAAATGATGTAAGACTTACCAATCCAAACAGATGAAGAATGAGATTTCCATGTTTTCGCACTATGTTAAACGCTTGGCAGCACAAATCCACGAAATAGTGAAACTTCGCCGATGGTTTATCTCCACCGTTTATAACATACGCCATATCCGACGTCAAGACAAATGGCGTTCTGTCCCTAATTGAGAATTACAACCCACGAGATCACCACATACTTGTACATTACCGAAAAAAAAAAAAATAAAAATAAAAATGGATATTCGTAAATATAGTAATAAAATGTCAACACATTGCTTGCCTCTTAAAGTTTCCAAACATTTGTGCGTCACCCAGGAATTTTCCGAAGTCGATATGAAACAAATGACCGGATGTTTTCAACATAATGTTATCGTTGTGCCTGTCACAAATACCTAGGATGTAAGTGGCTACGCTGTAACCGGCGCAAGACGCGGTGAAATTTTCAACCGCTCTCTCGTACTCAAGCTCCGACGGATTGTGCTTCTGCAACCATTCTGCGATCGGTCGGTCTTTAAATGACCCGGTCAGTCCAAACTCGACTTGGATCTTTCGCAACGTCTCGGCGTTCGTGACCATTTCTATCATTCCGCGTTTGTGTCCGGTTGGCACACAGGCGAAGGTAACCATTTTTAAGTCAAGACCTTCCTTCAACCAGAGTTTGTCCATAATGCGTACCATTTGAAGAGTCAACATATCCTGCTGCAAGTCATCACCAACCTGGAAAAGAAAGTCCGAACATTTTGTTTGCTAAAAAATTTCGCGCGAGATGGAAAAATTACTTCGGGGGAAACGTACCTTGAAGATCGCCGGACATATAACGTTGTCGCAGCTGATGAAGTTAATTTTCAACGGGAGAGTGAACGACGGGAAGTAAGAACAAGTTTGTACATTGATGCCGAACACCAGTTTACTGGGAGACAACGGCAGACACGTACCGTTGTCCTCCATCAGCTGGCAGTGTATATTTTGTAAAGCACTTTTGAGGGTTTCCATCCGTAACGATTCTTTCGTGACTTTGACACTTTCGGCCACCTCGTGCAGATTCTGCATATAAAAAAATTCTTATAATATACGACCTATTTGAAGTAAAACTGTAACACATGAGAATTAAAACGTACTTTAACTAGCAATTGTTGAGTGAGGAAACTTTTTCTCAACGCGTCTCCAATCACTGCCAACAATGCTCTTAGCATTAATTGTAATCTTCGATGATAACGAGCACAGCTGATAGCTTTGTCATCTTCCGCGGCAATTTCCGAAGAATTCTAAGAAACAAATACATTACATACAATATATGTATAAAACTAATATTTTGTTATAAATAGCACTTTCGGTATAGGTGCGCGCGAGCAATGTAATTAGTACAATGCTAATCACCGAACCTGTACCTGGGGACTCTGTCCCGGCAGCGCTTGAGTCAACAGCCAGTAAATATGATGGGCCACTCTCGGTGAAAGTAAGGCACGCTCTAGTAGGAAACGAGTCAGAGGTGAAGCTTCGTACGTCTCATGTTTCATCGCTTGTAGAAGTTGCGGCAAATAATCGATAAGTTCGTCATTACTGAGCTCGCGAATCCACTCGACTGCTTTCTCTCTGACTTTCATGTCCGGGAAACTGTGAACAAACAAAACAACATGCCCCGAAAACGTATCTCTCACATAGGAATTAGAATAAAAATAATCTTTGTCAAGGTATATACCATGGCAAGAGTAATTGCAGAGCTTGTACCGGAGGCAGGGGACACCAAACTCTGAGCGACGCGTGTAAATCCGGTAAACACGCCCAGTCCCAACTGTGAGCAGCTAATAATACTTTAGGTAAAGCTTCAGGCCTGTCGTGCAAGTAGTGCCTTTTCTCCCACAAAATTTCTCTCTCCTCGATGGGCGGTCTAAAGAAAAAACACATATTGTCCTTTTACAGAACATCGGCACAAAATTGTGTTTTTTGTTTTTTGTGCTAAATCTGTTAAAACACCGTTTGAAACATACCTCGAGAACGTGTCTTGCTGCGTAATGTCTATTAACAATTCTTGCGTATATTGATCTAAGGAACTGAAGTCCAGCGAGTCCATGTCGTAGTCTCGCAATTCCATATCGTAATCCCGAGACTCGGTGGGAAACAACACCTTTCCACCATAATCAGGTAATTCTAATCCTATGATAGGATGAGTGTCACCGCGCGGATGAATTCCAGGCGCCGGCGCCGGACCTAATCTTTTGTCTGCGATGGCCGGCCAAAGAGACAGAAAAAAACTGCCTTGGCTCATAACGCTACAATTCGAACAGAGTGAACGATGTGAAGGAAATGTATATTGAAGATAAAAGAGAGCTAAGTAAGGAAACCATTTTTGAGAGATGCGGTATAATTTTGTTACATGTGTTACACTTACCCATCGTAATTGAAGAACTGTATAGCTCCCCATCCGAGTTCTTCTTTTTGCATCGCGTTCTCTGAGGACGAGTTTGATTCGTGCTCGGCTGGTTGCAAGGTACGACCGTAAAGAACTAACACAAGTCTGGCTTCTCTCGGCAATTGACACACACTTGTTCCGTGAAATTCCAACCTGATTTTTTTTTAAATTCGCGTAATTTTCATCATCATTGGTTTCCGATTAAACATGGGGAAAAATCTAAGATATGTCATTTTCACTTGGCTTACCACGAATTGAAGAGAATTCTCGGATAAAGGTTCGAGCTCACTGTCATGGGTTCCGAGACGACTGTGTGTCCCACCGGTCTGGTACCGTGAAAGATTTGAGCTGCCACTATGTAATCGTCGTGCTTCCACATTGTCGGTAGTCTGTGCAGAGATCCAACGCGTACCAAAATAGTGTCGATTACTTCTGACGATATTAGCGTATCTGTTGAATAATAATATATTATAGAATCGCGTATATCGATTTTGCACATATAATACGAAATATTTCTTTTTTACTTGTCGAAAATTCTCCTTTGCTGCTCAGTTGGAAGTCGACTCTGAACGCGTGGCAGTACATCTCGACGAGTTCCTGAATAGCGTCGCGGATTTTGTTGCAATGAGAAGAGATCACGTCGGGAAACTTCTTTCTCAGAGTGACCACGGCGTAATCGCCGTCCTCGTGTATGATCTCGGGTTTTTTGCACTCTATGTTGGTTGTGTGAGCTTGCGGCAGAAACTTGCAACAAGCGTTCACGAAGTTGTCGATGGCTTCCGTGATCTCGAAGGTCTCGATGCTTCCCATTAAGGCACACACCGCTTTCACTGCCTGTACCACGCCGTGCGGCTGAAGCTGAGGTAGCAGAACAGAACCCTGATTTGTAGTGGCCAATTGTTGCGCTGCGCTCTCCACGCGTTCCATTTCTTTTTCAACGGTTTCTGCAATGAGTCAAATAAAACGAGAACGTCGTAATTAGCGTCGATACAAATATCTTACAAACACACGCGAGAATTCTTTCACAAATAAATACCTAGTAAAATGAGTAAGGTGTCGTACGAAATAGGATGTGCGGGTTCGTTCGGTAAGATATCCTCCAATCTTAAACACTGATCGCGATTATCATCTTGCAGCTAGAAAATAAAACAAGTGGTTGGGTACAAACGACTCTTTTTTTTTACACAAAACTGAAATGATACTGACTGTTCGAGAAATGGATTGTTTAATTTGTGCTCTGTTTATTATAGCTAATTCGATGTCCTTCTCTAACTTAATGCACTGATGTACGTATTCGTACTGTGCCAAGGTTGTGTTAGGCGCAAGATATTCAGCAAGTCCCCACACTCTCAAACAATATTTTTCTACGTTCACCGTATCTTCATCCTCTAGAGAACAGGCAACGTTCAAGATAACGTGCTCGACGCTACAATTCACTGAAAAAACACAAATGTTCAACGAATGTGATGATGTAACACGCGCAACACAGAAGTAATTTTTACGATAAATTCTCTCTTTAACTTACCGTTGCAAGTGAAAGAAATAGAAGGAACATCTTTGTCGTTAGGTAATTGCGGATAAACTACTAATTTTATACTTGTGCCGTCGGGATACAAATTCTCCATCATCGGACTGACAACGTATCCGATATTCGTATTGGGATTATTGAATGGAAATTCGTCTAAAGTGTGAGATTTTTAATTAAATCAAATTACATAGAGAAAATAAAGAGAAATTGTCAAAAATATATACGTAACAAATATTTGTTTACTAACGTCGTATGGACTTGATCATTTCGTGAAATGCCTTCAGATCACAGTCGTGCAACGACGATCTAGTTTTTTTGACTGTTACATTTTCATACAACCGTGTTTGTCGTTTTTGCTGAAGATAACGTTAAAACAATGTGAACAATTATTTTACACCTAAACAAACAAAGAGAAGAGAAACACGTTTCTTTTTCATCAGAACTTACTCGGCGATCTAAAGAGGTCTTTCGTCTTTCTATGGTATTCCATGCGGATGAATTTCGCGGAGGCAGCGGAGGTGGTGCGGCTGGTGACACAGCTGGCGACTTCGCCGACTTTTCCACAGCAGCATAAACCGGATCGGAATTAACGCTTTCATTTGTGCTGTACATGTAATCAAACGGATCGAACGGATCGTATACACTGCCGCTAACTTGCGATTGCGTATCTGTAAAATAATCAAAACGCGATAATAGGCGATAATATTTTTATCCATTTACAATTTTTGCACATACAACTAGTCAAGACTTTGTCATTTTCTACACTACGATGTTATTTAACTTATCGAGAAACTATATTAGATGATTCTCTGTGAACGCGTAAATTTCAACTTTCATTTTTGATAAAAAAAATAATTATTATTAAACTAACGGATAGCGATGTGAATTATGTTTTTTTTTTCATACCATTTTTTATTTTTATCACCATTCGTAATATGAATACGTAACTATGCGGTATAAAAAAACTTGTCTATGTTTTTTATGTCAATATACCAACACAGGAGATTACAGTTTACGGAGATTACAAAATTAATTATTTTTTAATTATTTTAAAATGAGTAACATTTAAAATAAATGCACTTACTTATGAATAGATTGAGATGAAGAACTTGTAAGTTAAGCCCAGAAACGAACTTTTAGTACTAACCGTTCGGGAGGCAAATGACACGCGGAGTTTACTACTTAATACTTTAATATACGCGATATACATCGTCAGTTAAAATATTACGGTATTGTCAATATGCGTGTAGTTTTGACCTCTGCGCGAAAGACCTCTTTTCGTAATAGTAATATGTTTAGGAACCGTACATAAAGTCGCCGAGCATTCCGACGTTCACAAGATCGACTATTATTTATACAATTTATGAAAAATTAGGAGACATAATTTAATACTTTATTATATCGAGCCGTATGCGATATGTTACTCTTTTTCCACGTAATATATTACTTATTTTGGTACACGTAAAATTATGACTGCACAGAACTAATGATGATTTTAATAAATAAGTTAAAAAATAATAATTTGAAAAATAATTTAAAAGGCGTCTCCACGCTAAAGATAATCTCCACGGAGATTACACAATTTAATGCTAAACTTGTACAAAATTACTTATGTAATGATTTTTAAAACCTTTTATAGTTAAATAGTGTAAAAAAGAGTATTCTTTTGTTCTAATAGAACCGGTCGGGAAATAAAATTGTATTATACAAAAAAGTTATATTGAAAGAACACAAATAAATGCATGTTTTTTGAGAGAATCACCCATATATTACCGATTAACTTACCATTTTTTTGTTCTTGCGTGGAATCGCTTCCAGTCTTGATAAGCAGTGGATCAAACGCTTCCAATACGCTAACGCGAACATTCGTTTTGTCATCCACTTGATCGGAGCTATTCAAATCTATAAGATTGCTATTTGGTTTTTTTTCCATCACTTTCAGTATATTCAGTTGTTCGTCATCCATGCAGAATGACGATATTGACGGACCACTCACGGCAGGTGCAACGGTCGGTCTATAGTTCATAGGCAAGGGAGGAATCTAAAAACGGAAATAGATAATCTTTAAAAGAACGTTTCTCGATTCATTTCATCATGCATCAGTGAATGTTTCTCGCTTGAAAAACAAAAACAAAAACTAGCACTAGCGATCTAATGCAAACAACTGCATTCACTAGCAAAAGGACAAGATGTAAACCTAATTCATTGGTGTGTGATTGACAGTGTAATGTAATAGAAGGAGATAAATTGTTTTCTTTCTAGTTTTTTTTTATAAAGAGAAGTAATTATGCGCTATTGTCTAGAAAATAAACCTTTTTCAAACCTTCAAGAAATGATATACCTGCTTAAAGAAAATATGGTTAAATATAATATATTTCCATGCAGGCTGTAAAAAATACTATCTTTTAAAACTGCTTTGTAGAGTACAATGCGTACGCGTATAAATTATATCAATAAAAAAAAAAAAAAGAAAAAATAGACAAAGACCAGTTAGAATAAAGAGACTTCTATGAACATCTTCGTTACCTGTGGTGCAATATCAGGTACATTGTTGCTAACACTACTAGCTCTTGACATAACAGGACTAATTTTCGGTGTTCCTGGTGTACATGGTGCGGTGGAGGCTCGTGGACCTGGCGAAAGAGAATGATATCTGAAATCCCTGGAATGATACGACGCACCTACTGAGCTATTGCTTCGAGACACTCTTGGCTGTTTCTTCATTAGAGACGGATGGGTGTCCCATTTAGGTTCTACCGGTGCTTTTCTGTAATAAAAGAACACGTCATGTTTCATATGTGAAAAGAATAAATCTTAAAATAAGTTCAAAAATACACATAAGTGAAATAAAATTAATATAAATTATGAAGAGTTACGGAGGTGGTGGAGGTGGAGCTGAACAATATTCCACAAGATCATCTTGCTTCACGGGACTTGTGAAATTTATTAGATCAGTAGAAGAATCTCGAGTTGCTGCGGTAGTTGTGGAGTTTCTTCTACATGGTATTGGAGGCGGTGGCGCCAATATTATGTTGTTCTTTTGATTTGTGTTAATACATCCTGGTCTTGGTCGACTTCTGCCTTGAAATCTGCGCATCATTTAACAGATCATTTAACTTCACTTTGAACACACAGTTACACTTCTAGATCAATTAGTCCTGATTAAAAAAAAAAAAATATGTAATAATATAAGTAAAAATAAAAATTTCTGAATGTTGAAGAAGAAAGCAATTGACCTTTCTCCCTGGGATCCATTTGTTTCTGATGCCGCGCTGTTTGTATTGCACACATTGTTCTGCGCAACTTGCTGCACAGTGCTAAATTCAGATTGTAATTTTTGCAATCTAAATTTTTCTAGAGCCAAACTTTCCAAGCTGAGAGCCTGAGCCCGTTCCAAGTCCTCTTGAAATTGTTTCTCATGATCAATCACCGCAGTCCTCTGATTGCAGGTATTTCTACTATAGTGTGACATCTAGAGAGACAGCATTGAATGACATGCTTAATTAATTAACAAGCTCGTAATGTTGAACAACAATTATTTCTAAATTGCAACGATTGTGCACAATTGTTACACAGACGACGTGTGACGTCACACACAAATATAAACATCCAATTGTACACATAGTAGAGACGAAAACAAAAAATTATACACGTATAAACCTTCTAACCTATGTATTAAATAAAAGCCAACAAGAGAAAACAACAATTGAGAGACTTTTATTTGTTTGACAATGTGTGGACAACCACGCAGTCTCAAAAAATAAAATTCGTTCCTATAACGCGTCTATCGATTTTATTTTGTTCCGCAACAATTCACCACTATTTCACGTCAGAGACTTGGTGTCGAACTTTGGGATCTACTTTCACACTTTGCGAACCTCGACGCGCGTGCAAGCAACACGCTACTGACTGTCAGTGATGTATGTATGTTGCGTGTGCATGTTAAAATGCAAACACGCGCGCGGAGCGATAAAGTGCCAGCAGAAGCCAGCCTACGTGCGATAACGAGCGCGACGAGCGCTCTTTAAAGGGCCGCGTTATCGCTTCCGACTCGTAGCAACCGCCGCGCAGCGCTTACGAGAAACCAGCTGGCAGCCGAGGGCTCTCTTACCGTGGCATTATTTCTGGAAAGGTGTCTCGCCGACAATCACTGACAGTCGCTTTCGAAATGCGTCCTGTACTTCTGTCTTCGTTTTTCTCTTGCTCTCCGTTTCGCTTGCTCTCGCTCGAGACTGTAACGGACGATCCACCGACGCAGCTCCGTGACCGTATCAGGAAAGTAACATCCTCGTCCAGCGCTCCGTTCTTATCCGGTTTTTCGAAGAACGAAAAGAGAAGCCCCGATTACAAATGTTTCGGAGATCCGATTTCTCGTTGTCAGTCGCGTCGATGATAATACGTGAAAACAATCATTCTCACGTCGACGTATGGGAAATTCTTCACAAAGATTCTTACAAAGAGAGCGCACCGACTCGACGTGTTGTTGTCGCGCGATGACGACGGCCACAGCGAGACGGTCACGAACGGCCGAAAGGAACGGAGCGCACAATGCACAGCAGGACGGCACTGTGGCGAAAAGACGCGACCGTATCTAATTGCAGAGCGACGATGCGGTCACGTAAGAAGAAAAGAAGAAGGCCTTCGTCGTGTTCCTTGTAATTGGAAGTAGCCTACCGACAGGCGAGTGCGCGAGTGTCCGGCGCGCTCCGATCAGCCGCTCCTCCGCCTTATTTGATTACCGCCGATTCAATTTATGGAGTGCGTAGGATCGCGAACAGTTACTAGTTCCGCTTTTGTATATATGTATACACGTACGTACGTACGTACACACACACACACACATTACATACATTACACACCGTCTTCGTATGTACGAGCGCGTATATAATACGACGCATCGTTACATTGTGCTTATAGTCTATACGCCTTTCTGTTTGCGCTAGGTGATTCACAGAAGAAGCAATTTGTATTCGCACTGATCCGATTTGTTTTGTCATCTGCGTCTTCGACGAATCAATTCTCGTCAAAAGAGTTTAATTAAAAAAAAATTTAATAGGACAGAGAAAAGGAGACAGCGAATGTGTGGTGATACATCAGATGTTCGCACGTGTGTGAGTGTGTTTTACATGTAAAATTTCAAGTTCTAGTAATATCGTAACAGTTTTTTTTATTCACATAATTCTGTTATATAAATTCTATTATATTAATTCTATAAATGTATTTTAAAATACAAAAAAAATATATATATATGTATTTATGTGTAAATATGCTCAAGTTGTTTTCAAAATCTAATCAGTAATTAAAAAAAGAAAACTTAATTATAAGTAAACGAGCCGATACGAAGCGCGTGAAAATGAGTAAGTACAAGCACAGCGCATTATACAAAAATATGTATCTTGCAATTAATATATAAATGAACTTCTTGGATGTAAACTTTTTATCAATCAAAGATATAAATTTTGTGAGACACGTTGCATTAAAGCTGTTATTTATACGCGCGCATAAATAAATGTCTAATGCAATTGTCATTATGCACACATGGATCGACCGTGAAATAAATCAGCGTTATTGTCGACAATATCGCGATTATTTTCTCGCCGAGTCCGTTTTGATAATTTTGCACGTTTCTTTTTTTCTTTTTTTTTTTTTATATATACGATCCTACCGCGTATCTAATTACACACTTTTGCAGTTTTTTAAACACGTCTTGTAATCGAAATGACGTTAAATAAAAATACGCTCTCTCAAAAAATACGTGTCACAATATTAAAATAATCGCATTGCTTCTGAAAAAGAAGATGATTCAAAAGAAACGATCGTTCTACAGATCTAGGAAATCGGTGAAACGTTGAGCCAAAATCCCGCCTCGCTCGTGGTCACGAGACTCCGTCTGCTGAATTTGATTGGCACGATTGTTTTGCGGCATATCTCGACTCGGTGATTCGTGAGAAACGCAATTAATCCCATCTTGATTTGCAGCAACGCAAACCGCATTCCTGCAAGATTGCAAAATCGTCATCAGCGATTGCGACCGTATGGTGATTATTACGTTTAAATAAAACAAGTTACAGAGAGTTTTGCATAGATATCATATGTCGAATCGAGACGGACGGTTTTTTTTTTTAACGCGCATATAAGGCATATCATCGGCGAATAATTATTCCGCGTAAATTTACATGCTTAAAAGTGCGTTGCTCTCTTTTTTTTGTTTTTTTTTTTCTACGACCGAATTATCAGATAAGTACATTGCGCGAAACTTTCGTCACTTACAAATGACGTACTTTTTACGCAATTTTTACCAGTTAGATTATGTAATTAGTCAAAAAAAAAAAAAGAAGTCAAATGTTTATTAGTAAACATCATTCAACAATTTCTCACTTTTGAAGTGATAACAAAATTGTGACAAAATAAGAGATAAAGGCGCTAAGAGAAAAGATGCACGAATCGATAAGGATTATCAAGAGTGCGAGGATTATACGTGGCGTTTGCGCATTTTTTAGATATAGATATTTCTTATCCACGACACATCTCGTAAAGGTAAAAGAATTCCATCGCCGCGTTTTTTTTCGACTGTTCGCGAAATCAATAAGCCGCTTTCGTATAGCATACGTGAGGTGAGCTGTAGATTTTTTTTCTTTTACAGACGGCGAATTGTTTAGAACACAATTGACGCAAGCACGTCTGACGTAACAAGTCAGCGTTGACTCAGCAGATTATGAAGTCTGGATGGGTCTGGTTGCCTAATTCGCGAGTCACAATTAAGCGCGATGTGATTATACGCGTGCGGGCATCCAGCGAAACACTCGTAAATCGTTCTAACGAACGGTTTCGCGACGGAACAACGCAAAAGCGTCTTCCCCGTTCGAAGCACATTTGTGAGTGAGATAAGAGCGAGATTGACCTAACTTTCTCCGAATCTCTCAGATAACACATTCTTGAAGTTTACGACGTTTTTTTACACATTTACGATGTTTTGCTCGGAAGAATGTTGTATATTTTACGATTATTCTTAGCAAGAGGAAAACACTTACGTAATTTATTAATTAAAAGAAAAAAAAAACTCAGCGCGACATCAAACATAAAGTGCGCGAGAGATGCGCGAACGAATTTTTTTTTCGATCCCGTCCGATCGGTGAAATCGACGTATGTACGCCAAAAAAAAAAACCTGAAATACGCACTTGCGAGGGAGAAGTAAAAATATGCAAAAAAAAAAAAAAAAAAATATACCTATGCAATTTCGCGGGCCTTCACCGAACGGGAGATACGTGTAAGGATGTCTCCTGCGTTTATTCTCCTCCGTGAATCTCTCGGGATCGAACGTCATCGGGTCGGGATAATAATTCGGATCGTGATGAAACCCATAAATCGGCACGATCACCCGCATGCCGGCCGGCAGTTCCACCTTGCTGTTCGGTATACGATAGTTGTACTCGGATTTTCGAGAGACCAGCGGGGCTGGCGGATACTTTCTCAAAGTTTCTAAATGAATAAAATATAAAATCAGTGTTTGCGCAATAATAACATAAAAAAAATTCACAAATATTTTTATGTGTATATTGCGTTATTGTTACGATAAAAAAAAACAAAATGTGTTCTCGACAAAAATGTTCTGTAAAAAATCCCGGAAATTTTTCTTATCGAGAACGTTATCGAGGGAACTCGCACCTAGTATCACCATGTCGAGATACTTCATTTCCTTTACCGCTTCGTAAGTCAATCTTCCGTCCCGTTTCTCCATGACGACGCGCATCTCTCGCCTCGCTGTCTCCTGGATCTCCGGGTTCAACGCCAATTCGTAGAGGCAGAACGCGATTGTGTTCGAGGCCGTTTCGTAACCAGCGGCGAAAAACATAAACGCCTGTGCCGCGATAGTGTTCTCGTCCAATTCTATAAAAAAAAAACACACAGATATGATTTAGTCTTGTGAATTTATAAATAACAATAACAAACTATCATCAGTCATCGCAAATGCCGCGGTGCAATGTTCTGAGCTTTAGCACGCGCAGATGCGATCAAGGTTTTACCGATGTCCTTCTCGACGTCCTCGTTGCCGCAGATCCGCGCGCTTTCGCCCTCGTTCTTCGGAGCGGTTTTGTTCTTTATCTCGATCAGCAGGTCCATGAAATCGTGTCTTGTCGCGCCGGCGCTCTCCCTCTGGTCGATCATCTGGGACACCACGTCCTTGAAGAACGCGGTGACGCTCGGATCGACAAGCTGCACACCCAGCAACCGATACAGTCCCGGCATGGCTGTTCGCAGCATTCTCCATAGGGTGATTTTGTAACTCGGTTTCGTGAGCCTCTTCGCCGCCCTGTGAAACTCGGACTCGTTGTTGGTGAGCGAGTTTATTTGTATGCCGAAGGCGCAGCTGCCGATGACGTCGATGGTGAATTTTGCCGCCAGTTCCCGCACCTCGACCACCGTGCTTGAGCTGCAGCTCGCGTCTATGAGCTTCTGCAATTCCTCGCCACATTCCGCCAGCAGGTAAAACATTTGCTTCAGCTTGCCCGACGAGAACGCCGGGGTCAGCTTCGATCTGAGACTCTTCCACTTGCGTCCTTCTTGGTTGAACAGATGCGCGGACAGCGGATCCTGATATTTGTGTTTTTTTTTAAATAATAAAATTATTTAAAAAACTGAATAAAAAAATTAAACGTTAAATTTTAGCGAACTCTGAAAAAAAGGATTGTTTTGTTTCTAACAAACAATCGTTGAGAGAATTTTGGCGTACCTTGGCGTTATTGACCGGAATTCCGCGATTCACGAAGAAAGCGAAATCCTTGACGAACACGGACTTCACCAAATCGGGATCGCGCAGGATCAGCACGGGCGATCTCACGCGAAACGCGCCGAAGAATTTTTCGTTCTCGAACCATTGGTACATCTCTTTGACGCCTTCCGGTTGCGACTTGCGGAACAGAAGCAGAGAAGCGAAGTTTCCGACGAGCACGGTCGGCTTTTTGTACGGCACACCGCGACATTTCCAAAAATCAAATGTCGCCGTGAGATAATAGTACAGAATGCCGAAAAAGAGTCCGATAAGAAGGAAGGGATCGAGCAATATCGTTAGAACGGTGAGCATTTTCATCTTCCGTTCGACGTGCCTCTGAAAATAAGTTTGTCGCAAATAAAATTTACACCACCTCTATTATATAAATAACAAATAAAAATAATATTAAAAAACTGAAAATTAAAAAAAAAAAGCTAATAAAAACTAATAATAATAAAATCATCTCAGCAATTAATGTAGTTTGTTGTAATTAATTTTTAAACACAAATTTACACAAGACTGAATGAGATCGATATTATCGCATTAACATTCGATCGAATATCTTTCTAGCGTAATGCGATCGTTCGATTATTGGCTATATACATTTAAATGTGTGTTCTCCAAATTATTTTAACAGCGCTAAAACAAGCACTCGGAAGAAAGATTATAACATTTAGTCTCGCGCTATATTTACATTGACCGATCAGATTAGCCACACTCGTAATGTATTACTCATGTGTACGCAAACGTTCGCAAACCAGTTCGGTGCAAATGACCACACTTTTTGAGAACTCGCGGTTTTGATAACACTGTTTTTTTTTTTTTTTTTTTAACGTCACTTAATTTCTTGTAGTGCAATAGAAGCGTACGCGAAAGATATCTTTAAGTATTTTAACAAATGTCTTTTACAACAAAAAATATTCTAAAGACCTTGGCAAAGTATTAAAAAAAAAAAAAATTTTTTTTTCGAAAAGATTCGTTTTAAATTCTCTGCAATTTTTTTTTTTCGACGTCTTTGTGTTCCACGTCGTATTCTTCTGCAGGCAATAATAAATCCAAGATAAAGATGGGTATTGTTGATTGATTCATACCGGTTTTCGGGAATTTCCGACGCATTCACTTTTATTGTATCCCCCGGCTCAGTCTTTGAGTCGTAATCTATTACCTTTTTGTAAAATCCATACAATTTTATATCTTTTCTACATAAAATGATATATGAGAAAAAAAGACTGGAAATTAATTATATAAAATGTTTTTCGACAGGTTTGACGCAGCAAAGCAAAGTGTAAAGTGTGCGCGCGCACGCGTGCGCTTACTTTTTTATTTTAAATCTATTAGAGTTTCTCTGTTTAATATATGCCGAGATGGCATAATTACGATCAAAACGCTTTGTGAAAGCTTCGCTCCAGTTCTCGCGCAATCCGAGGCAATACTTCAAATTCTACGTATTTAGATAAGCGATTACTTTTACTCAGCTGTTGCGCGCAGTTCGATCCGACCGAGCCGTGTGTCGAGATAACAATTTGCTTTAGCTCTGTTTTAAATGTTTTTCCGTTCTTTCGTCGAAGACAAGACGCACATTCACTCACTGACCGATCGCGTTCGACCGTCGCATGTGATTCGCCGTGACGATTTGACGCGAAGAAAAGAGCGCACGGTGGAAACTCGTGTCGACGCACTAGAAAACATTTCGCGGCATGGATTTCGTTTGAATTTAGTTTGGAGCGATTTTTCACGGTAAAAAAAATGTGTGTGCGAATGTGTGTAGCGCGCGAAAAAGAGCGAAAGAGGACGGTGGGAGAAAAAAATAGCGGAGAGAACGATAAAACGGAAAAGGAAAGAAAAACGGCGTTGTACATACATACACACGCGCGCGTATGTATGTGGCTGTTCGTCGTCGTATCGTTCTCGCCGAAAGGCTGACCTCCCACCGACTGGAAGTCATGAACGAACGCCACGCGCATTTATAGAGGAGATCGTCGTCGTCGTCGTCGTCGTCGTCGTCGTCGCTCGCGCAAAGCCGATTCTCACAAAAGATCGGGAGAGACCCGAGCCGATATATATCCCCCCGTATTATTATCTTCCCGCGGAGAAAATCCCGCGGGCGCGTATCTCCGTAACTTATACACGCGCGCGGACAAGCAAAAAACGCATCGCAAAATAATCGCGCGAATGACATCACGCCGATGTCAACGAATTTACAAGTTACAAGAAGTAAAAGGACGAAGCCTTCTCTTTCCTTTCCTTTTAAACAAATCGATCGCACCGCCAAGAACAGAGAGCCAGAAGAACGGACACGTTCTTTTTCGCGTGTGTTCTTATACGAGCGCGGACTCGACGCGGCTTTTGTTCTCTTCGCCAATCAATCGCGTCAATTGAAATATTGTTGTTCACCTTCGCCAATTGTATCAATTGAATTGTGTACACAATGAGACGAGTGTGCGTATGATAATATATGCATCATAATCAATATGCGCATCGAGAGATTTTACGTAACGGATTTTAAAAGGTGGTGCGAGCCTAAAAGAGCGCGGCGTGAACTTGTCATTGAAACGGTCGGATTTCCCGTCAAACGTATCATTTATCATTCATTCGAAACGTCGAATTTTTCGTCAAACGCGCTGTGTGTGAGTCACGTTGCTAATCTAATCTTTACGAGATGTTGTTAGTGTCGTTGTTTAGTCTTCTCAAAAAAAGAACGTGACCGATCGTGCGGATTATTATATTTCGAAAATTATAATCTATACGTTCTGATAATTACGACACTCTCATTAAAAAGCATTTCCTTCTGGCGTGTAAATAAAACGATAAGCTTGTTGCGAAATGGTTTTTTTAATCAGATATCATATTAACGCAAAACTGTGTGAAACCGCGACACATTGTTGTGGCTAAGGAAAGAGATGCGCATCTTGTGAGCGAGCGGGTCGAAGAACGCGTCTCCAACCTCATAAATGGCTAATTTATTGTTCTACGATCTTGTAGACAGATCTTGTTGAGAAAAGATCGTTGCTAAAAATATCTACTCGCGACCTGGACTCGAACCTCTGAACCTCTGAACCTCTCTTACTAGGATCATACGAACCGCCACATCCTCCGATCAACTGCTGATAACTAGCCGACAATAGATCGTGCTGGTAGCTACAAGAGTGACTGACTTTTGCTGCTGGCGAAAGTGTTTCACTGGTTACGCAACACGCGGTGCATTTATTGTATTGTAAATGTTCAATATTGAGACACATTTAAATAAATATAATTTTTATTACACATATTTATTGTACACATTTTTATTACGCATGTGTGATTTTGTGCGTATATTTGTTAATAAAAAAAATTTCGGCAAACACACTTTGACTTTTTTTTACAGAGCGAGTAACAAGTTAACTAAATTCTGTGAGAGAATATTATATTTGCAAACATATATAGTCTCTTAAGCTTTTGTGACATCAATAGCGAGTAATTCCGAATATGTGTCGGATTTTGCTGGTGGCGAAATTTCGCGCGCGAGTTTTGCGTACAAATTAACGCGATGTACTAATGAGATTGATTAAATTCACAGTAAGCCGATCAACGTGTCCGTTTATCGCCATTCTATGGGACAAACAAAACTATGAATAAATAATGATAATTATCAAGCTTAAATTGCACTTATTTGAATGCAATCACTGAGCCACGTGAAAGTCACATTAAAATATTTTAATAAAAATATGTTGCTTCAAAAAAAAAAAAAAAAAAAAAAATTATAATTGCTCATATTTTCGAGCGCGCTTGTGAGAACATAAAAAATGCGAAACAAATCTCTCAAGTTTAATCCAAACTTTATTACAGTAATTTATTAATTTTTTAAATTTAATTATTACAAATGTTCTCAAAAGAGAAAGAGAGATAGAGAGAGAGAGAAATAGATCTACCACTTCGAGTGTATCTCTTTCACAGATAACATTTGCAAATATATTTAGAGCTTGGAAATTATAGCCAACTACTTGAACTGTTTCTTTGTCTTGCCGCGGAGCAATAAGAATTGAAATTTGAAACGTCAATGTGACTGTCGACTCAAAATTCGTTCTCGACTATCTTTTCTCACAACGTGCTGTTCTGTAAATATCAAATCGTAAAATTGATCCCACAAACAGCAACGAAACCGTAAAGCTTATTTTTGCGCGACTACGTTACGGGAAATTGTACGCATACCGAAATTACCGCACGGACCCGCGCGCGCCGCGGAATCCTCCATTATCTTGCGCAATAAATCCGCGCTGGCCGGACCACATGGCGGGCTCGATAGCGTCGACGCAGTCGCGGCCGCGGCAAGAAGAGGCCGCTGCCGCTCGCTGGTGGTCGACCGCCTCGAAATGTTGATGCTAAATAAAACTCCTAGCTGCTTGGGCCGATGCCACACGTTCTAATTTCCTTGAAAGCACGGGCGGCTGTGGACGTGGCGGCCCGGGGTTCGCCACGTTGGAAGACGGACTATCGCGATAGATCGCCGATCGATTCTCTTCGTGATCGCGCGACGGAAACCGAGGACCGGAGGCGGAAAAGCCGTCGAAAAGTCGCGGGGCCGGTCACCCTGGGCAGCCTTCTGGAGGAGAAATTGTTTCCGCTGCCGCGCGCCGACAGATCGACGACACAGCATCAGCAACGAACGACGGCGGATGGTCGAGCTTCGCGTGCAACGTCGTCCGGTCCTCGCCACTTCCATGTGAAGGCTGCCCTGTCATGGCTGTCGCCCTTCTGGGCAAGTGCGTCGCTCTCCTGGGCTTCGTCGCCGTGCTGTTTTACGCCACCTGCTATGGATTCCGAATACGCGACGCAACCGCGCCGCAGACGCACTCGGCCGTCTGCGTTCCCGCGCACGGTAAATCTTGTCCCGCGGACAAAACGGTGACGACCACCACGACGACCGGGGGACCAACGTACTCGCCCCGGAAATGGCAAGAATTGCGAACCGCCGCTGGTGGTGGTCGGAAACCACCTGCCGAGCCGACGTCAGCCACGGAAACGGAGAAAACCCGGATCGAGAGGAGCACCGAACATCTGAAAGACAAGAGTGTGACTGGACCAACATCGAGAGGTTCCAGAAAAACAAGCGTCAAAGTGGATGACGATGAAGATGAAGAGACGCTGGTGGAGGTAGAAGATGAAGAATCGGTGGGGGAGACTGAGAGAGATCAGATAGATGAGACGGAAGAGGACGATGAAGAAGACGAAGAAGAGCTGTCTGAGATCGAAATATCAGATCGCGATGTTAAAAATAAAAAAGATAAAATGAAAAAGTTTGTTCGCGATGGAAGTAAAGACGATGATGACGACGAAGATGATGACGATGACGATGACGACGACGATGACGATGACGATGAAGGTGACGACGACGATGACGATGACGATGAAGGTGATGATGATGATGATGATAATGATGATGATGAAGATAGTGGTAAAAAAGTCGCTAAGACGAGTTTAAAGAAAGAAGAAAAGAAAAAACAAGAAACGCAAACTAGTAAAGTAAAAAAATTAGTGAAACACAGTAAAACCAAAGCTGTTGATAAAGATGATGATGATGATGATAATGACGACGACGACGACGACGACGATGAAGATAAAGAAGAGGCAACAGCCAAGACAGTCAAACGGAAAGTGACAGAAGTTAAAAAACAAAAAATACATAAGAAACCAGGTAAAAGTCAGAGTAGCGATAAAGACGATGAAGACGATAAAGAAGATGACGATGACGATGATGATGATGATGATGATGACAATGACGACGACGACGACGACGACGACGACGAAGATGAAAAAAAAAAAGAAGCAACAGCCAAGACAGTTAAACGGAAAGTAACAGAAGTTAAAAAACAAAAAATACATAAAAAACCAGGTAAAAGTCAGAGTGACGATAAAGACGACGAAGACGATGAGGAAGACGAAGAAGATGACGATGCAGAAAAAACCACTCCCGCGCCCAGAAAATTGGAGAAAGTGAGGCTCGCCGATAAAGATAAGGCAAAAATTTTGCCTAAACGCGACGCGGAGAAACAACCGAAACAAGAAGATAAAAAGTCAGCGGATATTACGAGGCCGGCGATTGACAGTTTGAAAAAGACGAGCGAAAGCACGAAGAAACGCGAACCAATTGAAAGCGCGTCGAAACAAACCGTCGAGATCAAGAAGAAGAAATCGGACGAGGCGAAGAAACCAATTGAAAGTGCCGATAAATCACCTGAGAGTGCAAAAAAAGTCGAATTAGTTAAAACCACTTCGAAGCCTAAGGCCGCCGAAGCGCCTCCTAAGACTGAAACGAAAACGGACGAAAAATCAAAGACGCGCGTGAAACCGGAAACTTCATCGACACCTGCGACACCGAAGAAGACCAAAGAAGAAAAGACGAAACAAACGGAGAAGAAGACGGATGCCAAGAAAGTAACGGCGAAACCACCAACTTCGAAACCAACTTCCTCAAAGGAAGTTTCGCGAGCTGGGAGTGAGTATTATGTAGAAATGATTCAATATAACGAAAAGCACAAGATTATTCGAAAGATGTTCCACGTGAATAGATTTCGCCGTGTATATATTTGAGAGCAATGTATATACCTCAAGTAATATAATCTTATCGCGAAGTCAAATGTGTCTAACAGAGTCAAGTACATTTTACTTCGAGTCTTTCACTAATTGAGATTCTTTTTTGAAAAAAAAAAAAAAAAAAACAGCGTGTAAAAAATAACAGAAAAATATAATATAAATAGAAAAGTTTCAAAAATACATTTCCTCATTATTCTTTTTCTACGATAAAAAAAAAAAACATTGTAAATCGCGCGCGATTTAACATTTAATTTAAATTTTATCATTAAGAATGAAGAAACAAAAATTCAATCTCTCTAATTACGCACGACATATATATATTTTTGTAGAGCAAGAGACGAAACCGAAAACGAGGAAACGCACAGACGCATCTATTACATTGTCCGAACTGAATGATGCAATTCTGCATGCGCCGACCTTCGTGCCAAATTATACGAACGTTGAAAATTCCGAGTGTCAGCAACATGGCAAGATATTCCTGCGACAATTGAGAGGTTACAAGTTGTGGGCGCTGCAAAGTGAGTCGATTGACAGAAATAACTGGTTTCATTCTATTTTCGCATTGACGAGTCAAAGTCATTTATGCCAAAAGGTGGTTTTCTTTAGCGTTCGCGTGCGAATCGATTTTCTAATCACCGAGAGAGAAATATATATACGTATAGATCTCTTTTTATTTGCGCTCTTAAAGTTTTTTTGACGAAAAATGCGAACTGCGTTCGCATTTTTAATTGTGTAATTTTTTTAAATTTTTCTTGCATCAAACAATCAGCCAAATCGTTGGAGACTTAAAGAGATGATGATTTCAATTTTCGCAGTGTTAGATTCAAGCGCGAAGATTCCGTCAAGCTTGTTGCGAGGAAACGTGAATCAATTCGGGGATTTCGATCAATGTTTGGGTGTGTTGGCGCAAGTTAAAGTGGACGAGAAGACAATAAGAATTCAAGGGAAATATTGCTTGGCTAGTGTCGACCTGTACGCTTCTCATCCGGATATGAAACTGCCGGTCAACCTAATGCAAGCCCGTGCATTTATACGAGGAAACATGCACGACGTAAGAGACATGCGCGTTCTGTGTGTTTAAGAAAAATAAAATAATAAATTTATAGGATATTAATTATATTGTTTTTTTTATCACAGACAAATTTAAAAACAAAAGTTAAAAATATTTTTTTTTTTAACAGACAATTAATTTTTCTCTCGATATTGTCGCGTGTTTAAAAATTTATATAAATTTGTTGTTTCAAGTTCGCTTTGTCGCGAATTGTAAATTTGAACAAATTGAACACTTTTCAACAATTCATTCGATGTTTCAGCCAGGTCATTTCATTCCAAAATTCACGACAATAAATTGGGCGCTGTGCGTGCCAGCGGCGTGTTCCGCCGAGGACGCTGAACGTACGCTGGAAAGCGCCCTGGAAGATTACAATCAAACTCTCGGAATTAGATTTTCAGTGAACGTGGATCCGAACATGTGCTACGTCAAACAAAAATCTCAGACTTACTCGAAGGAGACGATCGGCGTTTTGTACGTACATCGCTCTCTCTCTCTCTCTCTCTCTCTCTCTCTCTCTCTCTCTCTCTCTCTCTGTGTTACATCGTCCACCGCGCGCTCCGATCAATGCGAATAATCTTCGTTTTTTACTTCGTAGATATTTTTACGCCATGATCGTGTGTCTCGTTATCGTAGCGACTGTGAGGGATTACCTGGTGGAAACGCAGGGGAAAGGTAAATAAAACACGATTTTTTTTTTATCAATTAATTTCCTTATACTTTTAAACACGCGTGTTTACACACAGGAAAATATTTCGAGCTTTAAATATTTAAAGCGCGCGCGGCGATTATCGCGGGCATAATGCGTCATGTCTCTCTTTCGCAGGAAATTATTCTGAAAGGATAATCATGTCATTTTCCTTACGGAGAACGATTAAAGCCCTATTGAAGGAAGCGACGGGCGCTGCGGATATTACGTGTATCCACGGAATAAGAGCGCTCTCTACGATCGCTCTTTACGTCGCTCACCAGCTTATAACAATTTCCCGAATACCGTTTAACAACCGCATTTCTCTCACCGAGGTAAGGATCGCGGAGAGAAATCCGCCTGCGGTTTTTGTACGTAATATTCCGGGCGCGTGCCCGCCTCATCGATTAAACATCCGTTTAAAAAAAAACAGATCGCCAACAATCCAGCCAGTTCCGTTCTGCGAGGTTCGCTGGTGTACACGGACACTTTTCTCCTGTTGAGCGGCGTACTGACTGCCTACAACATGACGCACGAACTGACGAGTCGCGGCGAGATTCGCTGGTTCTGCCGTTTCATCGCCAGATTTATCAGGTGCGACGTTTCCCGCGAAAACGAGGTTTGCGATAAAAAAAAAAAAAAAAGCGTTTTTGTTTTTGCTGTAATTTTTAGCTTAAAAATTTTTATAATTTAATTTCTAAGTAATTTAAATTTTAACTTTTTTGTTTTTTACCAACGGCGTTCAGACTCTCACCGGCGTTGCTCGCGGTGGTGTTCTGGTACGCCTTCGTCATGGAACACATCGGCTCGGGTCCGCAGTGGAACAGCATCATCACCGCGAACGCGGACCTTTGCAAGTCCAACGCCTGGACGAATCTGTTGTACGTGCAGAATTTCTTTCCCTTCGAGGAAATGGTGAGAACGACGACGTTCGGAGACGAGTCGAGAGTCTCATTACGCACAGGTATAAAAAATCTTTCGATTTTTTTTAGTGCGCCACGCACACGCATCAGCTGGCCTTGGACATGCAGCTGTCGCTCTCGGCGCCCGTCCTGGTCTTCTTTCTGCAATACAAACCTCTCGTCGGAATTCTTCTGATGATCTTCCTCCTTCTCGTGTCCGCCACGCTTCGTTACATAGCGACGACGAGCAATTACCTGTCTCTCGTCATCTTCCACGGGATTTCGTGAGTACACGACGAGATTCAGCAATTATTGTATACGCGGAAGACAGATCGGACACTTGTTTTTTATTCGTGTTCTGTTTTCCCTCTCTTCCCCGATTTCAGATTAAAACGCCTTTACAAGACTGCCAACTTGACTTACATGTTGCCGCTGCACAGAGCCACGCCGTATATTGCCGGCGTCGGTCTCGGTGTGCTTCTCCATTACACCGGCAAAAACGTCAGGATCTACAAGGTAAACTTCCGGCCCGTGAGCGCGAAGCCCTTTGCAGAGTTGTTTTACACGTGATCGCGACGTTCCCAATTTCAGGTGTTAGTGATCTTGGGCTGGTTGATCGCGACGGCAATGGGTTCATGGTCGTTATTTTCACCTTGGCGCCAGGCCAGGCGCGACTACGTATACGACGTTGAGGAGGCCGCAAACTACGCGGTAATCGGGCCGGTGCTGTGGGCCGTGGCGCTTTGCTGGTCAATATTTGCCTGCTTCACGGAGCACGGAGGTCTGTTTCTAAAACCTGTTCTACAATACGGTCGTAAGTCGTAAGAAATTGACCAGTCACAGACCAAATCACAGAAGAATAATCGCGCGATTGCGATTGGTCAATTTCTCACGACTTACAGCTTGCGACTGTATTGAAAGAACAGGTTCTAAACCGAACGATAACACACAGCCGGTCAGACGACGCGCGCAATTAGAAAACGAACGGAACACATTAACTGACGCGATTGATTTTCACACGTCGTATCTCTTCTTTTCGTAGGTGTCGTTAACAGATTTCTCTCCGACCACCGGCTGGTGATCTTCAGCAGGATATCGTACGCCGTGTATCTGACGCAGTTCGCGGTGTTTTTCTACAATACGGGGACCACGAGATTTTCATCTGAATTTCACATTTACAGAGCGGTGAGTCTCGCGTGCGATGTTTTAAAATTTTTGAGTTTTACCTAGCTGCGGGTTTTTCATCGGTAAGTATTATATATTTTAACGCGAGAAATGCGTTTACTTTTTTCTCACAGCTTTTTTGTGTAAGTTTTTAGGAAAAATTAAAGATAAGAGGGAACAGTCACGTTTAAAAAAATAATGATTCGATAAAGAGAAACACGTAAATTATATTGATTTTACGTATTTTGCAGATCGATCCTCTGGAAGTAGCGACGGTATTGGCCGCGTCGGTCGTTCTGACGCTGCTGTTCGATCTTCCGATGCAGGAGGTGAAAAGCGTCATAATGGAAAGCACGGATGTTCTGACGCTCGAGGCTTCCGACGAGAAAAAGACAAGCGAGGACAAAGATGTCGCGGAATCCGCGAAAGCGAAGGCGAGCGAGCAAACGAACGTTTTCGAGGACGACGAGATCGCGTCGACCGGTTGGGACTGGCAGAAGGACATAACTCACGGAGCGACCGGAGTTCTTGAAGGACACGAGACGGAAGAGGAAGCGGTAGACGTGCCGACGCTGAAGAAAGCGAACGGGAGACGAATGTCGTTCATCGAGACACACGATTACGAGGAAGTGCCGAGCAGAGGTCGAGCAACATCCAGAAATTCATACGTGGACGATTCCGAGGAAGAAATTATCGAATATCTGAGAAGTAAACGGGAACATGAATTGGTGGCTTCGCGCAACAGACGATCGCTGTCCAGGACCAAGGACGGTAAGAGAGTGTCGTCGAGGGAGAGCGAGAGCGAAGAAGACCGGCAACGCAGAAGAGATAGCGACGATGACGCGAGACAGTTCAGAAGATCCGAGTCCAGAGGCAGAGCCAAGGACGCGGACGATCATTCGTGGGAGTTCGTCGGTAAGGAAGCCCCATTCGTCAGAGAGCAGCAACACGAGCCGAAACCATTCCTCGCGAGATCCTCGGCGAACGTCGCGAGAAGAACCTTCTCTTCTGAGAGCGAGGAGGACTCGTCGGTTCGTGGAAGATCGAAGCCGGAGCGCGTCCCGAGCTCGGACGCGAGGACAAGCGACGAGGAGGATTGGGAGCGCGAGTTGAAGGTGCGAAGGAAGCAGTTCATGGAAAAGCTGAGTGGATCCCAGCAGAGCGAGTCGTTGACCGAGGAGAAGAGCGAAGCCAACGAGGAGACCTTGAAACGCAGATCCTCCGCGGAGGGCAGAATAGCCATGCTGAAGGACGATCTCCCGGGCGAGGACAGCATGGACTCGTGGACCGTGAGCGTTGGGCCGCGTATCGAGCTGCTCGGTTCCTCGCAGGAGCCGAGCGAGCCCGAGGAGGACGTCATTTACATGCGACGCAGGGAGTACCGCGAACAGGGTCCGCCCTCGCGAGAGGAGAGCCAGAGCGAGGAGGAGAGCAGCCAGGAAACGTCGAGGAGACCGTCTTACACCAGCACCAGCCGGAAGACATCGATGGAAGAGGAGGAGGAGGACGTTAACAGCTACAACTTCGTGCTCACGAAAGACAGCAAGAGGGAATCGTTGCAGGATCTGTCGAAACTGTCGCAGGAGGAATTGGTGAACGCAGGGTGGAACGTGGTGAAGAAAGAGGGTGGAGATGTTTTGGTCAAACCGACGTCGACCGGACTGTTCAAACGGGAATCCATCATAAAGAGCCAGGCCAGCGAGGAAGATCCCGAGTATCTCTTACCGGAGCGACCGAAACTTGTTCAACAGGAGCGCGAACATCCGTTCAAGAAGGCCTGGCAAGTGCAAAAGTCCAGATCGGAGGAGGAGGGCTCTTCGGCTTACGTCATACGCGAGCCGAAAGATTCCAAGGAACAGCAATCCGAGACGAAACCGAAAGAACAAGATTCGACGATCAAACGCGAGCCGAGCGGCGAGCAGTCGAGCGAGGGCGACGTCGAGTCGCTCGCGGATGACGAAGCTACGGCGACGCCGAGAGACGTGAGCACAGACACGGACGATAACAGGACCAGTTCGAAATCCGGCACGGACGAGACGGACTCGGTTTCGACAGAGTACAGCAGAGCCACGCAGGAAGAGAATCAACGACGGAGCTCGAAATCCGAAACCGACGAGAACTCGGAGAGATTTAATTGGCTCGTAGAAGAGGAGAACGGAAGAGAGATCCATGGGATCGGACGTAGAGGAAGATCGGAGGAAGCGGACTGGGAATGGGAGCAGGAAGAGACTTGACGAAAATGATCTTAGACAATTGCGCAGAGAGTGACTATATATGTATATTTCCTTCGAGCCTTCTCCCTCTCCGATTTGAGGACGGAGGGAAGCGACGGTCGCGGATAATGGCGGACGCGGAGTGTTTGAATTTGCGAGAAGAAGACACGCGACGATGATGATGACGACGACGTCCGAAGGAAAAAATATGTGACCGAGATTTATATTAATCGCTGCACGTTAATAAATTACAAAGAAAATAATCTGTCTACAATGTACAAATGTTTTTTCCTCGCCGCGTCAATTTAACGAATATTTTATTGTGACTGCGCGAAAAACAATTTTTTCCGCGTTGAGAAAATGCACAAGTGCACAATCGGGAATTGTTATTTGTACAAAATATATAAACAACAAATATTTACATATACGCTTCTTGTCTGAGAATATACGCAACCTTCAACTAATATATATGTTTATACGCTGCAATTAATATCCTGTTGCGACAACTGCTTGTGAAAATTCTTTGCGATGTGCAACACATTGATATAATGTGTTTCAAGAGCGCATAAATTTATATATTTATTGTTACATCTACTTTCGACGTGAATAACATTGCGATCTCATTTTATTCTTCACATTCGACTCTTCGATCGCGTATTTACACGTTCAATTTTTTCACAGATGAAAGCTAGATCCGTTTCTTTTTTTTTTTGCGCGCGCAAAGAAAGAGGGAAGAACGTTAGAGCGGGGCAAAAGAAGAGGAATTGCCTCGCGGTCGTTATTGTACTTTACGAGACACAAAATCTCGTAAAGACCTCATGCGCGAATAACGCATAATGTTCGCCGGCTCGGCAATCCTCGACCGGACGGTTTATCCACGTGAGGTGATCTACGCTCGCGTTTACGGGCGCCACGGGGATTACTTCCGTTCACCGTGCCCCTACGATCCGCGGCGGTTGCCGCGCTCGCTACGGCGGTTTTCATTGCTTCCGCTCGAACCGACCGGCCGCCGCGCGGTCGGTGGTTTGCGCAACGTTTATGCTTGTCACACAAGACACGAGGGCTAAACGAAGGTTTTACACACCCCTACGCGTACACAACAACGCATTCCGCGGATATCGTTTCCCGGCAAACACGCGCCGCGTAAACCTGATGAAAAGATCGCGCGGATCATATTTCACGCTTACGATCGCTTTATTTATCGCCGCCCCGGCCCCAACTAATTACCAAGGTTTTACTGTATCGATTGCGAACGCTCGCACGACACGCTTCTATGGACGCGCGCGCTCGTTTGTTTATTGCGTTATTAAATTATGGTTGTTGAGAGAGTTACCTCCGTGACCCTACCTGCACTCCGGTTCGCGAACGCACTGTCGCGCGTCCATCATTGTCAGTCGAAGATATCGTCGGAAAATGACGACTGACCGAGCTGACCGAATAATTTTTATGTTGCAACGTGTTTGTTTTTTTTTTTCATAGAATATACGATATGCAAAAAAAAATAGAACGGTGTGAAAAATGTCCTTGTTAAATGTGCTTAAAAAATAAATAAATTTCAAATTCAGACGTTTATTTCTCTCGCGCGCAAAAAGCTTCTCTTCTACAGTTTCACTTCAATTAAAACTTTAGAACGCACACAGAACAAGCGTAATTGTTTATATCTCTCCCAAAATGCGTTTGCGTTTATATGTGCAAATACATAAAGGACATAAAATTACAATTAAATTGCGTCCCGCTAGAAACCTGGGGTTTTCGCTAAATTGCGTTAGTTCAGAATATTTCGTGCCGCGGAGAGCGAGAGACAGATGTTGTCGTATTATCAAGCGGCGAAGCGGAAGCCGATATTACCGCGGCCGGGAATCCTCACGTGAAATATATACGAATATCCGGGGACTTCGACAAGTGCTTCCGGTTTCCGCGCTTTCTCTAGCATGAAGCCGCAAAATTGCATAGTCAACGTGATCCCGAACGTCCGAGGAATCCGAAACGGTTGAAGCGCGAGCGTTACGGAACTGCCACGGATCACTTCGTACCAATTTGGACTACGATGCCCCGCGAGATCGTGGCCGAGAGCGAAAGCCTTGGAACGGGACCCTTGAAATTCTAGGCTTCAACATCTCGAACTCCACGAACCTTCATAACCCAAGAATGCGAGGAGCGGTCTCGAGTCGCGCGGGTTGTCCCGCATCCATGACATCTCCGTCAAGAACGCGAATTTCTATCTTACGCATTTTAGTGCCGTGAGTAAAGTTTTCGAACTTTACTTTATTAAATCGCAATATCGCGACACACGGTTTTTTGCAAAGGATGACTCTATGAAGAAGGATACTATAAAAATCAATTATATAATTTGTCATTACAAAAGTTGCACACACTGTATTTTAAATTTTCTTAAATCGATGGAAACGTTGATGAACGTTTGTTGTAAAAACTGGGGAACTCTATTGTCAACTATTGTTAACTATTAAAACTTACAATTTGTTTTGAATAAAGCCAACTTCATTTCGGTGTACATACACGTGTGAGAGTCCCAATGTGCTCGGCCGGTCCGCATGCTGATATCGCGAGAAAATGTGATAAAAAGCGGCGGTAACGCGGGACAAAAAAAAAGAAGAACGACGAAAACGAGGCAACCTGAGAAGAGGCAACATCGAAAGAGGAGAATACAATAGAAAATATTCGCGAAGCCGTCCGTTATTGCCTCGCACGTACACGCGATGTACGTGTCGGTACGTTCTTATTTACCTTATCGAGAAGGCGAATCGCGAAGGCGAAGAGAAGAGCGCCCCCGCGCTTCTTTTTCTCTCTCTCTCTCTCTCTCTCTCCCCGGTTTCTTTCTTTTCCTTCAACTCTTTACCTTCGCCGCCGTTCGTGGATCGCGAGACGCGCCGCGTCTCTTCCTCCACCGTTTTTCTCTCTCCGGGAAACGGGCCGTCGCGCGCACCGGACGTGATCTCTTCGTGTATCGTCTCGTTAGTATGGCTGCTTATCTGCTTTTCTCATCCCCGAGAACGCGCGCAACGTGAATGCCGTTGCGTTTCTCTCTATTGTCGGTGATTTCGGCCCGGTCCACGTGCGACGTGTGCACACGACGACGACGACGACGAAGACGACGACGCGTGTCCATACGAGCGCACACCCCGCACGACGGAGTCCGCCTATCTCTCTCTCTCTCTCTTTCTCTCTCTCTCTCTATCACCGTGAGACGTGTCCGGACTATCGAGAGACTCTATCCCGATTTCCAGGATGCGTTTCCCGCTCTCTCGGTGCGCGTTCCAACGAGATGCCACCGCGTCGCGGCGAAGAACCGAGGCACCGAAAGAACGACACGCCAACATAAATACAGAATCAAAGCGCAACTCGTCGTTTGTACAACGAACGTTTAACGCCAAAGAAATACTTATTTCTCGTAATACTTGTTTCGAGATAATGAATTATTTTATTGTGTGATATATAATTTATATTAATTGCAAATTATTTTATAATACAATATAAACGATGTGAACAGTGATGTATCATCACCTTATGGCTATAGTTTTCTATCGTCTACGGAAATGAATATGCAGAACACTACAGCCTTCGCGGATAGCCTTATTTCGGATGATATTTCAGTAAAAAAAAAACGTGAATCGTCAGTTTTGACGTGTATCATATTAATCATTGCTCGGGATGATTTATGACTGAATGCCACTGTCTTTTTCAATAATAATTATTTATTAATGCGGTATCATGGACGAGTTCTCGGGCAACTCGATGAGTCTCGCATCGAGAGGGAAGATATAGAGAAAGAGAGAAAACAACCCCCCGACAACAAGAACTCTCTCGAGTGATGCTCGAAGGCGAGGAGAGAAACGTCTAACGGTACGCGGAGACATTTGCATACTTGGGTATTCATGCAGGGAAAGCTTTCGTCGGCACATTACAGGATCCGGGATTGTTGCACGTGAATACGCGACACTGTCTGGGAAGCGACTGTGAGAACAGCAAAGAGACGGCGAGCGGAGAGAGAGAGAGAGAGAGACATTGTTAATGCGAATATACGTATGGGTGTATATACGTCGGGGGTATTGTGCGACTGCGCCCGCGATCTGCAGGGAGAATTCGATGTAAGTAAATTATGAGATGTACATAGATACGTCTCGCTGGGAGAGAATGTATGTGTGTGTGTGTGATTAGAATCTTACTGAATCTTTCACGCGCCGAATATTCTGATGAACGCTATTATCCGCGCGCGCGCGTTTCAAAACAATCAACAACGTCGCGCGCGTCAATTCCGATCGTCCGCTCGATGAGTCTTAAAAATCCCCTAGCCCCTTCTCGACCTCTTCGCAAAGTCGCTCGTTTCGACTCGCGCGCACGACGTATTGCTAATCGATTCGTCGTCGTGCTCAATGAAATGAAGTATCCTCTTTTTCTTCTCCGTCGCGTAGGAAAGTTGCGCCGATCTCTTTACAGGATCGTCGTCGTCGTCGTCGTCGTCGTCGTCGTCGTCTCTTCGTGCCACCGAGCCGGATAATTGCTTCGATTATTTACAAGATTTCCTTCGTGGCAGATTAAAGTGATACCGGCGCTCTCCCCCCCCGTCTCTCCCGCGTGACGCGATACTTTCCCGCTTTGAGAAATTTCCCGCTTCCTTTTTCACACGAGAGACCCACTCACCGCGCGCGTCTTCCTTGCGCGCGCGCGCACATCTTCCTTGCCTCCTATAAAGCCTAATCCGATCACGATGAAACGAGGTGTCCGTTCGAGTGTAATTCCGCGATAATGGATATTGCTATTCAAAGTATCTCTCTCTCTCTTTCTCGCATTAAATGACAAGTCTCATAGTGATTCGATGGGCGAGAAGGAAGAGGGTGGTAAGAAACGCGGGTCACGCGACGCGGAAACAATTTGGTCAAGTTTCATTCCATATAACGCACAAAAAAATCAAATAAATTAAAATACACTTAATAAAAAATGCGTAACAGAACAGAGAGAGAGAGAGAGAGAGAGAGGCACGAACACGTAATGCGACGGAACAATCTTTGTTCCCGAAGCGGACCATCGCGGACTTAAAGCAAGCTTGCGTTCCTGCGAAAACGTTTAATTTCTTACCGTATTGTCGAGAAGAAATGCTCTCGTTTAATTTATTTACGTTTATCCTTATTACGTTCCCGTGGAAAGTAAGCTATCCGCTCCAATTGCCCCTTTCCCTATTCCACAATCAATAGGGATAAGGAAAGGAGCCTTCCTCCAGCCGTCGTCCAGCTGAAATAAATCGGATCCGTGTGTAATTTCGCAAGCTCTCTCGCGGCTCGCGAGATGAGAGAAAGAGAGCGAGGCATTCGATATTGAATTATGAATGCGTCAGGCGCGTGATGGGGATTGGCGATGTGATGAGCCCGGCGCGCGGTAGAGGTGGGTGTCAATGGGGATCGTCAGGGCTCT